GGGGAATTCTGGGAGTTGAAGTCCACCCATCTTAAAGTTGCTGAGGTTGAGGAACGCTGCTCTAAAGGTGTGAGCAGATCAAGAAGAAACTTAACATCACCACCCTTGCCTTGACCATTTGGGGTTTCTGTGCAAATTCTGTGCAGAAGAATCTATTGGAGAGGGCAATAAAATGGATAAATCTGACAAGGACATGTTTGTCATAGGACTGCCCTAGCTGCTGAAGCAAACCAAAGGCCTCTTTAATCCAGCACTTTGTTGTGATGAGTTAGTTCAGAAAGGAGATCTTGCTCAACCCACCCACCCACCGCTTTTCATCCTCCCCAACTTGAAGTCAGTAATAATTCTATACAGTGTTCTGGTCCATCTCTCGTGAGAGCTAGTGTTGAGCTGGTGGGGGTGGGTGTAACCAAAATGATCTAGGACTAATAATACTGTCTGTAAGACTGAGCGTTTGAGGCTTTTTCTCTCCATATAAAAAAATGACAAAATTCAGTAAGCATGATAGAGGTTTTTATATATCTGATGCGGAGAGCGTTTTTCTGATTTGCTCTAGTAACTTTATGTTTGCCATTCTTGGATTCAGATGCTTCTATGGTAGGTTGCAAATGAAGGAAGTGGAAGTACATTTACTAAATCGCCATAAAAGTATCAGAACAGAAACCAGGGTGCAGAACAAATACTGGAGTTCAAGGCAATTACCCATAGGGTATTTAGTAGATATTTATTTTGATCAGTAAGTGGGTTCAGGATAAATGAAAAAAAGAAGCCTCTGCACAACTCATTGTTAATATTATCGTCATGGATGTCAAAAGGGCTTTAAGTTAGAGGTTAGTAAAATCCATGGTGGAGAAAAGATCTGTGGTAATCATCTGTGATAATTAACCATTCAGAGGGAGTATATGGTGTTTCATAGGATTCCTGGAGGCATTTAGCTGGTCGCTTTAGGAAATAGATCAGAAGAGGTCTGGCAGCAGCTCACAAATGCTTATGCTTTTTCACAAAGTGTGTTAGTTGGAAAAGGTTCTACCAGACCCCTCCTGATGTTTTGCCACCATAGACTAACTTTGCTCTGTTCCTACAGTGTTTAAGAAATTGGAAGCTCTGCTTTATAGATACTCAGGCTAGTAGGGCCTTATTGTGTGTAATGCATTATGGTCTTCTAGAAGTCTTCCTTCCTTCCTTCCTTCCTTCCTTCCTTCCTTCCTTCCTTCCTTCCTTCCTTCCTTCTATTTAAATTTATTAGCCACCCAATTACAATGGACTATTTTAAATTAAGAGTCCAAAAATAAGGGAATATTTCATAGATAAATATTTAGAATGTTTCCCTTCTTTTTGAGAATCCATAGCCTTCATTCCAACTCACAGCTGCTTTTATGCTGAAGGGACGTTCGTCAGCTCAGAAAAGGATAACAAATTTGCTGCATAATAGAACTTTCGTTCAATTTCTGATTCAAAAAGATGAAACGATGCATTGGATGACTGCCGCAGTTATATAAATTGAATTCGTACTTTTGTCCTAGCCTGTCCAATCCCTGCTTGTACCTCCAGTGAATTGTGAATTACTTTACTAGGCTTCCCTGTTTATTAGCTTTACTTTGTTTGGGTCCAGCCTCCTAACAGCTGGGATGGGTCACTCCCTTACTGACCTTTCATCCAGCCAGGGACCTCCAAACTAGCTGTGAGGTTTTGTGCAAGTGAAAAGCTGGTCCTGCTGTTCTGAACCAAGCCGGTTAACTGCCTCTCAGGGACTTTTTTTTTTAATTTAATGGGGTCAAGGAAGCTTCACTTTCTGTGGTTTATAACAAGACTGTTTCCCTCTTGCAGTGTCTAATTACTTCCCTCCTCTCTGTTTGCTGCTAAAGAATCTTCCACCGCCTGGCAATTGCTTGCTATTGTCACTACCCTTGGGAAGTACGGTATTAACATCCTTTATCTCAGCTTAGCAGAACATGAGATAAGAAGCTGCCAGTGACAGCTCAGACGTGATATCTCTTTCCTTGGAGATCTTTGTGCCTTCTTGGAAACCCCTCCCACCCCATCCCTCGAAGAACCACTTGGCTGCTTCTGTTCCATATTCCTAAATGTCCCCCAGCCTTCTACAGTGTCAGCTTGGGGGCTTAGAGGTTGTTCTTGCAAGACAGGAGTCAAAAAATCTTCTTAGCAGAAAAAAGATCCGGACAGTTCTAATAAC